TCCACAGATGAGAGGCCTCGAGGTCGACCTCTGCCCCCCTGCCAACACAATCTGCGACTGGTCGGAGAGAAAGGAGGAGAACCACCGCAACACAGTGCCTCCCACCCCCAACTCTTCCAGCCGGTGCAGCATGATACCATGGTCGATGGTATCAAAAGCCGCTGAGAGATCTAATAGGACCAGAACAGAGGAATAACCCCTGTCCCGAGCCCTCCAGAGATCATCCACCAACGTGACCAATGCTGTTTCCGTGCTGTGCCCAGACCTGAAACCCGACTGGAACGGATCTAGATACGATGTTTCCTCCAGGAATTGCGGAAACTGTTGCGCGACCACACTCTCAACAACCTTCGCAATGAAGCGAATGTTGGAAACAGGACGATAGTTGGCCAATATTGCTGGATCCAGGGACGGCTTCTTGAGGAGAGGCCTCACCACCGCCTCTTTCAGGGCAGCGGGGAAGTGACCCTCACTCAACGAAGCATTAATGACGCCCTGGAGCCAGCCTCGTGTAACCTCCCGGGAAGCCAGTACCAACCAGGAGGGACACGGGTCCAGTAAACATGTGGCCGCACTAAGTCTCCCCAAAATCCTGTCCACATCATCGGGAGTCACAGCATCAAACTCCTCCCAGATAACATTCTCAAGACTGTTCCTCGTCACCCTGCCCTGATCTACCCAGTCAGAGTCCAGATCCCCCCGGATCTGAGCGATTTTGTCATACAGGTATTGTCCGAAATCCTCCGCCCTGCCTTCTAAGGGATCCTCCCACACTCCCAGATGGAGCAGGGCGCGAGTCACCCTAAACAGGGCGTCCAGACGATTCCCTGATGACGCAATAGAGGCGGAAAAGTAGTTAGACTTTGCCGTCTTTATCGCCACTAGGTAGGCCTTAATATGCGACCTTACCAGTGTTCGATCAGATTCAGCGAGACTGGCCCTCCAACCGCTCTCCAGGCGTCTTTTCTGGCGCTTCATTTCCCTCAGCTCCTCAGTAAACCAAGGAGCCGCACGGGATCGGCATCGGGTCAGAGGCCGCAAAGGCACAACTCGGTCCAAGGCCCCACCAGCCGCCCAATCCCAGGCGGCTACCAGGTCCTCGGCCGAGTCATGTGCTAGATACTCAGGAAATGGCCCAAGCTCCGTCTGGAACCTATCAGGATCCATCAGGCGCCTGGGGCAGACCCATCTAATTGGGTCCGCCTCCCTGCAGCGAGGGGTCGCGATTCGAAGATCTAGGCGAAGGAGTGAGTGGTCAGTCCACGACAAGGGTTCCATGTCTATATCCCCTATAACAAGACCACTCAACCACTGGCCAGAGACAAAAATCAAATCCAGAGTGTGACCTCCCCTGTGAGTAGGGCCATGAACTAACTGGGTCAGGTCCATGGCCGTCATGGAAGCCATGAACTCCCGAGCCACCTCAGACGTTTCACCAACGGATGGCAAGTTGAAATCACCCATGACTAAAAGCCTGGGTGTATCTACTGCCACCGTGGCTATCATGTCGAGTAGCTCAGGTAGGGCTGTTGCCACGCGGCAGGGAGCCAGGTACGTAAGCAACAAGCCCATCTGAACCCCACGGCCCCACCTCACAAGGAGGGACTCACATCCGGCTTTCTGAGGCACAGTGGTCTCCCTCGGACCCAGATCCTCGTTAATAATAACCGCCACCCCCCGCCCCTCCCCTGGGCCCTCGGCTGATGGAATGCTCTGAAGCCTGGTGGGCACATTTCAACCAGAGGGACGCCACCCTCCGGGCCCAACCAGGTCTCCGTAATACCCGCCAGGTCCGTTCCTCCCTCTTGTATAAGATCGTGAATGAGGGGGACCTTATTGACCACGGACCTGGCATTGCACAGCATCAGCCGAAGGCCCAGCTCCTGAGTATCTAAGCCACCTAGTATCCGAGCGGAGCCTTGGGGACCGGGGCAAGCAATTGCTCTCAAACAGCAAGTGCGAGCCCCCAACACCTGATGTGGTCCCCTGCTCCCGCCATATCTGCCCCTCCCATTCACCGTGCCAATGGTACAGCCCTCATAGATATCGTCCCCCATCCCTTTCCCAATCCCTCGTCCAGTGCCCCCCGGATCGTTACCCTGTGCCGGGCACGGCTCTGACCCTGGTGGATTTCCGCCCACATCCGCCATAGTTGTCTTCCCAGTATCTTTAAAAGAATAATTCCAACCCCCCCCCAGAACCCCTTAAAATCTTTAAAAATTTCCCTAAAAAGCCCCATAAATTCTTCCTTGCTCCATGCCATCTCTCCGGACTCCAAAGTCCGTCATCGAGATAGGCCCTCGATAATGTGGGGGGCCAAACCTGCGAGAGGGGAGAATCGCGCAGAACAAGGAGTTCCGACACTGAATACATATAGCCATCAGGGGAAACAGTCCAAGGGTGGGGGACTGCTGATGTTATAAGCGTAGGGAAAATTCCAGTCCATGGTCAGGCTGCCAAGCTCCACTGTCCTCTCACGACAGTGGCTAAGGAGGTGCATATCATTCGACCCCGAAAGTTTCCAGGGCAGCCGTCTCTCACCAGGCCAATCCATGGAGACTTTGATAGAAAGCTCAAGGGTGAGGATAGCCATATTCCGCCTCCTCAGGCCTCATATCCATAGAACCAGTATCCCTCCTGGGATTAGCAGCATCAGGGAATCCAATATCCAGCTCAAAGGAGGTTTAAGTTCGTAAATGTTCGTCAAAGAAGTTCTACATGGTAGGGAATCCAGACAGGCCAGATGGAAGTGGGGAAAAATTAGGAGTAGTTCAGCAGGCCAAGATGGATGGGAAGCTATGATCGTAATAGGCCAATAGGCCAAAACTCAGTCCGAAGGAAGGAGGAGGGGGGGAATTCAAACCGCATAAGTTTGTAGTCATTTTCCGGCCCCAATAACCCTCAACCTTCCATTCTGGTGGGTGAAGCTCCCCTATTTCGTCCCCCCCATCCAGCTCACCCTGGGGGGGGGTCTCTGGGTCTCCCTGGAGGTAAACCTTCCCTCAAGGGTCGTATACTCTCCAGTCACCCCAAAATCAGATCTAAAACCACTGCTGAAAAGTCCTAGGCCGTCTGTTTGGAAGTCTGTAGGCCCTTGGGAGCCGCCCCAACCTTAGGCGCCCCCGTCACGACCACCGCCGTGGCCTCCGCAGTCCCCACCGCCATCGTCGCCATCGGCCCCCCCACGGACGTCCCCAGCTGCCCCCTGCCTCCAAAGATCCACCTCGAGGCATCCAGGGGCGTGGGGAACCTCCGTAGGGGCCTCACAACGCCGATGTCGTCCAGGAGCTACTGCCGCCGCCGCCATGACCACCCGTGACCGCCACCGCCGGTGCCGGTCCCCTGCAGGCCGCAGACTGCCGTCACCCACCGCCATCCTGACGTCATCCCCCTCAGCGCTGGGATGGTCCGGGGAGCCGACAAAGCTCCCAACGGGCTCCTCAGATGTTGCTTCGCCTGGGCGGGGGGTCATAGATGTTCGAAATGACCCCCCTGAGCCCCCCCAAGCTGAGGCATCGCTCCCAAGAAGCCGAGACTCAGCGTTGGAGCACCATCTTGGGCATGCGCAGAAGAAAGAACTAATATGAAGAGGCTGGAAATAGCCCAAGTCAGTTATGGCATTTATTATTTTTTATAAGTTTTTTTTATCAGCTGATTTTTGTCCTGTCCGACCACAGGTCATTCCATCAAGGGAAGCCATGTATCTCACCATATTCTATGCAAATGAAACCCCCAGGGGAGAAGGTTTGTATATCCCATGTTTGGAAGAAAGAACCTGTTTTCCTCCTGGTGGACACAAAACTGGGAACTATAGCAACAGAACAGAAAATGCCTGATAACATCAATATGGAACCAGAGTGGAAATACCAATAGATGTGTGGTGAGTGCTAATAGAACCCTACAGCCACTAGAGCCGCTTTGAGAAGAGTTCTCCACACTACTGAAAATGATGCAACAATGGACTTGGTTACTCTTTTCCTGCTGATCGCTACAGATGTTGAACAGACAGATCACAATTTCAGCTACAACAAGATTTACATCGCTGCATTGCCATATAATTGATTGACTTTGCCTAGAACTGATGCTGTATTAGCTTCATGAAACAGTGGGATGGTGAACATTTCGGTATCTGTATGTATGATTTCATTGCTTACGTGTATTTATTGTCAATGTTCCATGTATTTAAAATGGACCTATAAATAAGCTACACCTTAGAGAAACCCCATCAAGTGAATCTCCAGGGAATACTTGCGGAAGACTGGGTGTCGCAGATTGGGAGGGTAGTAACTTATGGGATAATTGACCTTCTATTTAGTTTCTTTCTAGAAAAGGATTTCTTGCTCCATAGCACAGAGGAATAGCATGGAATAGGGTCAATTAGACATCCAATATTACACCAGTCACCTATTGACTTTGAAGGCTAATTTTTGTTTTATTCAAATGCCCTCAAACCTTATTGTAAATTTGGGCACATTTCTGCCTATGGAGGGCATCCTTTTTTGCTGGGAGTTTTTTTTCTAGATGCATCTTATTTCTTAGTCACTAGGATGACTCAGGAAGATCTATACTTCTTGTGTATATCGCAAGTCCCCCCACATAATGATCATTTTTGTTGGACATGCATATTGACATTGGACTTTTAACATCTCTGCTGCATTAAAAAAAAACCAAACAGAACAGCTCCGAAGGATGGTTAATTTTGGACGTTTGGGCCTGCTGCTTATACAGTGCTACCTCATACATGGTACTTGCCTAGTTTGAGGTTGTTCAATTGCCATTGCCCTTCTCCTTATTTCTCCATTGCTTGCATTCTCTGCCCGTACTATTGTTAATGCCATTAGGATGCTACCAAGTGAAGTCTCCTCTGGGTCTTTAATTGTTATTTGGAATCTCATGGCCCTAGATTTTTATGGGCACGTTTAGAAGGTGTTTCTGCACTGAATACTTCTAGTCGTTATGTCAATTACCAGAGTTCATTGTTTATAAAAATGTTCAGAAAGTTCACAAAATAGAGTTTTATGTGCTGCTTATTTCAATAATAACGACAGAAATTACTAATATCTCCTAGTTCTCATACCATCCAAAATCTATTATCTAATATATCCTAGCTCTAATACTAATATCTATTATCTAATATATCCTAGTTCTAATATTAATATCTACTATTTAATATTGCTTAGTTCTAATACTAACTCATATCTACTATCTAATATTGCCTAATTTTAATAGTAATCTAACAACGTTTAGTTCTAATGCTAACATTAACTATCTAACATCACTTAGTTCTAAACGATCTAATATCTACGATCAAATATATCCTACTTCTAACACTAATATCGACTACCTAATATGTCCTAGTCCTAATACTATCTGATATCTATTAGTTCTATGAGCTTGACTGGAATCAAATAATGCAAGCCATCATTTGGTATTTAAAATGCAGTTTGGCCCAAACAATTTTTCCAAACGAAGCCTTTTTTTCCCAGGTGGTATCTTGTGACTGTTTTCTTCACCGGGAGTTGAAGAAGTGTCTTTTTGTCTTTCCTTTGGAAATCTGGCAAATGCAGGCTCATAATTGGTGACAGAATCTTCTATACAGTTGGTTATTTCACCCTGTTGCCTGTTCCTTGGTCTTCTGCTGCATGTTATTTTGGGGTTGATTAAGGGACCTGTTGAAGGATAACCCTGATGTAAATTTTCTCACATATTCTTCACAAAGCCAACAGTTGCATTGCATTCAGAGTTACGATATTCGTCCCAAAGTATTTATAACCCAGTTCCAGAGTTCTGATGCTGTCCCGTTCCCCCCCCCGCCACTGTCACATGACCCTCTTTATGGCGAATTGCTGTGTTTTGTTGCTTGTAACTAGCCTTTTAAGCCAGTTTCTGGCAAAAATGGCCATAAAATTCATTGCCTTGCTTAACAACCACAATGTTTCCTTAAAGATCTTTTTAATCTTAATAATCATTTGCTTTACAATTGAGACATTCGTTTAATAAACAGCACAAAAAAAGTTTTAAAATCAGGTTGATCATGTGGGTGCCTTGATTTACTACCATCACAACTTATGATGAAAATTCTGAGCTCCATTACAGTCATAATTTGAGGATTGTGTATATTGGATAGGAACAGCATGATAGGAAGATGTTAGATAACCCCTTCAGTGGCAAATGCAAGGGGATTATTTCATACTACACGGGACAAGGCAATGATAAATCACTCCTGTATTTCATTCATAAATTCAGAGTTGAAGGAAGAGGTTAGAAATACACTCTCCTCACTAATTCAACTCTTCTCCCCTTATCTCTCCCATCTAGAGAGAAGGATGAAAATGATCCTGTTTAATCAGCACTAATGACTACTAATTAAAGAGTTCACAAAATGTAGTATTGCCATTTTTAAAAGAGAAAATAGAGCAAGGATTTGAAATATTTTTTGACGTCAATGAATTATATTTTTATTATTATAGTATGAAACAAACTCTGTTCTACCTTTTGGAGAAGAACATGGATCGGCTTTCTCTGGCTGACCTTTGCGCATCCGGTGTGCATAAATATTTGTAATGCTTAGTTCTCTTTCTCTTTCCTAAAGAAATGCATTATTAAATTTATGTTGATAATATAGTTTATTGTATTAATGTATGTTCTTCAGAGATCATATGTTTAGTTAGGAGACACTTTTCAAGTACTATCTGTTCCTAGAAATGTTAGTGTGCAAAAGGCCTAACGTACATTAATACATTTATCCAATCTACAGTTTATATAGTTAGAGGCTGAAAGAAAAACCCACAGAAAAAAATAGGCTTATGTCAAATCAGCATTTAGTGAATAGCATCTTGGATTCCTTCTGTGGTAAGAAAAATATGATTTAAGCATTTAAATACCTTAAGTTTGAGCTTCAGCGACTCGATTTCTACGTGCAAATTTGCTGTCATCGACCGAGCTTCAATAGTCTTCTTTCTCTCAACTGCTAACTGGTGTCTAAAAGAAGCAGTATTCAATGACAGCTGCTTTTCCAAATCCTAAACACATTAGAAATAAACCATCAATAAGATTATTCAAGATTTGCAATCATACAATATTGAATTAGAAATTAGAGGAAGGCAACTGAAATTTTATCAAATGTTTCCAGAAAGATGATGATGCTCACAATCTGTTATGCAGATTAAGGAGAAAAGAAATAGAGATCCAGTTACAATATATACTTTTAATTTCTTTTTATTGGTGGAAGAAATAGCCTTCTCCAATCCTTAAATCAAGGTCAGTATGGTCGAGAAATAGAATAAAAGAACATCAGATTTTATATATTGCAATACTTAGCAAAAGAGTATTATTTATTTAATATACCAACATTACAAGCTATACTGTAAGGGAGGGGAGATGGTGGAGGAGGAGGAGACAAGACTAACATTTTGTTCATTTCAATAATAATAAAACCATAATTTGCTTCATTTTTGCCTTGGTATGATGCCAAGTAAGGTAGGTTTAGCTAATATACAGGTTTAAATGTGCTGGCTAGGCTCATGTCATCAGAGATGGACTTTTTCATCTGATTAGTTAAAGCAAGAGTCATTCTTTCCAAAATCTCAATTTTCTATACAACTGAGCCAAATATGCAAAAATGGAAGGAAGTGTGAAGAGCAAGAAGTTTTGCACCACATCCACTCAAAACATCCAGGTAGTGTTTTTCAACATTCATCTCTGATTGTGTGGTGAAAATAAGATTCATAAGTAATTAGCTTAGCTAGCTTGCCCATACCACTTTTAATACATAATTCCACCTGTCTAACTCTAATCTTCTCCTGGTTTTCCTACATTCCTCTTTTCCAATAATGTCTTTTTTATATCTAGAGATTTTAATTTCATTGATTGATTTAAAAAATATCCCATTCTGCTCACAGAGCGATGCTATGCAGTTCTAAGCAATGTATGTTGCATGTTACCTGAGTTTTCTTATCCCTAGCTTCCAGTTTTTGGGTAAGTGATCTTAATTTGTGCTGAAGTTCTTCTCTCTCTTCAAGTTTTTTGTCTATACAAAGTTTCTGTAGTGCCCGCAAGGCATCCGTGGTTTTTAAGAGTTGTGCCTCAACGTTTCTTAGCTTCTGGGAAGCCCTGCGCTCTTCTTCCTGAGATTTCCTGAGAAGTACTCTCAGAGTCTGCACTTCATTGGCCTGCGTGGCCAAAAGATCAGGCAGCTTAATTTCAGCATTTTCATATTTTGTAATTGCTTTTAACTGTTGAGACTGAAGATGCTTCAACATTTTATTTTCCGTAATAAAGGTCTCCAATCTATTCTGCAAAACAGCCACTTGGTTTTTCAGTTCTTTAATTTGATGGTCTCTTGCTGACAAGAGACGGCAAGTCATGTTATTTTTCTCCTGGGCATTGATGGTATGGTCAGTAATATATGAGCTCTTTTGCTGAGGTTTCTTTTTAGGCAACATTTTACCTCCTGCATTAAAAGAAGTATCAAGATGGCATATAAGATTGAGCAAAGTAAGAATCAGATCATTTTACATAAGCTTCAGAGCCAAATGCTCAAGTATGTATTCACGGCATAGATTCACTTCCTGTTATGTAATATCTTGAGACAATCTCTGTTACAACTATTGGTTGATTGACCTATTGTGAAAAATCATACCTGAACTCTCATGATATTAGCTTCCGTAAGACATAACTGCTATACTCACATAATATGCTAAGACAGTATTTAGAGAGCTTTAAGATGCATTGACTTCAACTCCTAGTATTCCTCAGCCAGACATGCCTAAAGCAGGATTGCTAGCCAGCACCCTAACTACTATACCAAACTGCCTAGACAGACAGATGGATAGATATACATATGCATGCGTACATACCATATCCAAATAATGATAAAATAATGAATGTAATAAACTGAAAAGAATGGAAGTGTGACCATTAAAATTTGCCAACTTTTTCTTTTCTTTTCTTTTCTTTTCTTTTTTTTTTTGTTAATACTGGAACCTATTCCCTGGCCCTTGGCTTATTTATTGAAACCATGTGACACCGACATCTGTATGACCATGATAACTGGTGAACTACATCCATCGCTACAAGCCCCATTACCTCGATAGAGGAATTACGGACAGGGTGTGGAAAGCAGTACATTAATATATTAATCAACTGCATACAATTTAAACATTTTATCAACATTCAAATGGTTTCCAAAATGATAGTATAGTCTCTAGAGTATAGAAGTGTCAGGGTAGCTAAGAAAAAGCGGAGTTATAGGACAACTGCTTCATTTTTAGGAAAGGCTTAGCTGCCATTAGTTTGGCTGAAATCTGCCAACCACAGCGAATGCAGTAGTGTTCAAAGTGAGCAACTGCCTTCTTACCTTTTGTATGGACCTTTTTCTTTTTCTTTTCTGGTAAATTCCGCTCATTAGTTTTTGGTGTTTCGGGCAATGGGATGATGTAGCTGCCACTCTCTTCACTTATGGAGGTTTCAGAGGCATCCGAGTGAAAATCTTCGTGATAGTAGTTCAGAGACGTTCCACAGATGTTCTCTTCTGAACAAATACTGTTCTTGCTGCCATTGACAGCTGTTCTTGAAGCATTATCATGAAAGTCATTAGAGTAAGTAAACTGAGCACTTCCAGGCTTGCTGGAATGTTTGCTACAGCTACTGTCTTGACTGTTGGTGCTCTTACTAAGCCTACCTGGAGAATCGTTTGAGCTTCCTCTTTTTCTGCATTGCCGAGACGTTTTATCCTCTTGGACAATATGATGAAGGGCTGTATGATCAGAAGCCATCATTCCACCAATGGCAGGGAAGTCTATCAATTATACTTTATTTCCCAAAGGAAATGGCACTGTAGTCAGAAAAAGAAACAATGTATGATGTAAACATTTACTTAAGCCTTCATCCAATACATTTAAAAGTTGTTTGCTCTGATTCTGTACCAAAAAGATCACCACAATTTTGGTTCCTAGCATTATATTATTCACTTCTCGAAGAACTGATGTGTTGATTAATTAATATGCTACTTTCTTAGCATTCTCATTCACAGAATGCAATGCCTCCAGAGCCCTGGAGAAAAGGGAAGAAAACTAATTGAGGCAGAGATTGTGCAGTTAGGGCTCAGTTACCATTGATGAGAAATGAACTATAAAAACAGTACATAACGGAAGTTGGCAACACAATTCAACTTGGAAGGGAAAAGTAGCTGCTTCATTTTCCGGGTCCCTTAGAGGAGCTCTTCCAGCAGGCCTTTATCTTCCACCTGTTTTTGCTTCCCCTTAATTGTTGCTCTTTGCTTACCCACAACCCGAACCAAGCACTCCTCGACTGCCCAGAGAACAAAAGTCGAAGCTCCCGCCAAGCACGCAGGGTTTAAACTTCCTCCCCACGATGCCCAGACAGAGGCTTCTACCCGAGGTCCGTTTATTCCGTTACCGGTTCTTGGGCTTCGTTGGCAAAGAGGTGGCTGTTTAGATCTTTGCTACTATGGCAACTAGAGAACTTCGTCTCTGAGCATCATGGGACTTGTAGGGCAAAGTTGAATGGAAGGAAAAGGTAAAATGGCAGATGTTAGGGAGGTGTTTTCATCATTCCATCATCTCCAGTTTCCTTCACACTCCTCATTCCATAAATTATGTTTTTCTACTGAGCAAAACACTCCTCAATCTGGGGCTGTGAAAGAGGACGAGCTCCTTTTCCGTGATTTAATAAAAAAACAAAGAGAAGTAAATCCACAATTTTTAGAGGATTTTAGAAATATTATATTTTGTGCTGGGAAATATCTGTCCTATCAGGCAAGCCAAAACAAAGCATGTAAAGATATGCATGCTTATGTTAGTGTAGGTTCCACCCAATACAATGAAATTTGTTCTGGGGTAAATTTATGAAAGGTATAAATTTATACAGGATAGAAAGAATAGTCAAATATATGTTAAAGGAACACTTAATTGGGCAATCTACGATTAAAAAAAAGAATTTTTCACGTTTTTCAGAACTTTTAATCTGGCAAGGTGACAGAGCAATAAATTCTGCCTCTGCCATAGATATGGCTACAGTTATTTGTTTTCTGAACTTCTGACCAATTAAAGTGCCTCCAAACAATACCACAATCCCAGAATTAGATTTTCTGGGTTTTACATCATTGGCATAATCACTTTCAATCTACCATTGTAGTTACAATTCTTCAGAGACCTGTATTTGAAGACCCAAGTTCACAGTTCCCTTCAAATACCTGAGAACTCTTTTTATACCCATGCAGTGCAATTGCATTGGAGCAGCAGTAAAGTGAATTAAGATGCTTACTGCACAAGCTATGTCGGGTCTGGACCACTGTGACAGATATAACAAACTCCCTATTTCAGACGAAGATATCTCTTGATCACAGGCTTCACTTTTGTCCTCGCCCAAATTTCATTAGCAGAACACCTGTCAGGTGGTTCCATCACTCTGACCTGCGTGGCATTGACTGCTCTTGTGTTTCAACCCGCTCTTGCTTCATATCCGAGTCATCATCTTCTCCTGACTCCTTTTCTTGCTCTCTTTTAGTTTCTCCTCCCTGAACACTGACACTATCACTAAGTGAGTTACCGTCACTAAGTGGATCATTCCAAAAACTTGCATCAATTCTTTTCCAATTTTGCTCTGCAATGCTAGCAGACCTGGAAATGACTATTCTTTTGCTCCCATCGCTAAATCAATAGCTCTTTGAGCCAGGCTCATAGCCTGTAAACTTGAGCTTTCTAGCCTTTGGCTGACCTTGCTCTTGGAATATGCACCCATGCATCGCTTCCAAAAACCCTTAAGTTTGCCAGAGATGGCACTATTTAAAATCTATTATCTAATATATCCTAGCTCTAATACTAATATCTATTATCTAATATATCTTTTTTCTAATATTAATATCTACTATTTAATATTGCTTAGTTCTAATACTAACTCATATCTACTATCCAATATCGCCTAATTTTAATAGTAATCTAACATCATTTAGTTCTAATGCTAACATTAACTATCTAACATCACTTAGTTCTAAACGATTTAATATCTACGATCAAATATATCCTACTTCTAACACTAATATCGACTACCTAATATGTCCTAGTCCTAATACTATCTGATATCTATTAGTTCTATGAGCTTGACTGGAATCAAATAATGCAAGCCATCGTTTGGTATTTAAAATGCAGTTTGGCCCAAACAATTTTTCCAAATGAAGCCTTTTTTCCCCAGGTGGTATCTTGTGACTGTTTTCTTCACCGGGAGTTGAAGAAGTGTCTTTTTGTCTTTCCTTTGGAAATCTGGCAAATGAGGGCTCATAATTGGTGACAGAATCTTCTATAAAGTTGGTTATTTCACCCTGTTGCCTGTTCCTTGGTCTTCTGCTGCATGTTATTTTGGGGTTGATTAAGGGACCTGTTGAAGGATAACCCTGATGTAAATTTTCTCACATATTCCTCACAAAACGAACAATTGCATTGCATTCAGAGTTACGATATTCATCCCAAAGTATTTATAACCCAGTTCCAGAGTTCTGATGCTGTCCCGTTCCCCCCCCCACACTGTCACATGACCCTCTTTATGGCGAATTGCTGTGTTTTGTTGCTTGTAACTAGCCTTTTAAGCCAGTTTCTGGCAAAAATGGCCATAAAATTCATTGCCTTGCTTAACAACCACAATGTTTCCTTAAAGATCTTTTTAATCTTAATAATCATTTGCTTTACAATTGAGACATTCGTTTAATAAACAGCACAAAAAAAGTTTTAAAATCAGGTTGATCATGTGGGTGCCTTGATTTACTACCATCATAACTTATGATGAAAATTCTGAGCTCCATTACAGTCATAATTTGAGGATTGTGTATATTGGATAGGAACAGCATGATAGGAAGATGTTAGATAATCCCTTCATTGGCAAATGCAAGGGGATTATTTCATACTGCACGGGACAAGGCAATGATAAACCACTCCTGTATTTCATTCATAAATTCAGAGTTGAAGGAAGGGGTTAGAAATACACTCTCCTCACTAATTCTACTCTTCTCCCCTTATCTCTCCCATCTAGAGAGAAGGATGAAAATGATCCTGTTTAATTAGCACTAATGACTACTAATTAAAGAGTTCACAAAATGTAGTATTGCCATTTTTAAAAGAGAAAATAGAGCAAGGATTTGACATATTTTTTGACGTCAATGAATTATATTTTTATTATTATAGTATGAAACAAACTCTGTTCTACCTTTTGGAGAAGAACGTTGAATTGGCTTTCTCTGGCTGACTTTTGCGCATCCGGTGTGCATAAATATTTGTAATGCTTAGTTCTCTTTCCTAAAGATATGCATTATTAAATTTATGTTGATAATATAGTTTATTGTATTAATGTATGTTCTTCAGAGATCCCATGTTTCACGGTGTAACTCTCTCCAGTATCTCATTTTATTTATCTGTATTTTAAATATTTGCTTAGGCATCATTTGGCCAATGCTTCCTTTTTTAAAGATTCTGAAGGATAAATATCATTTTTTTTCTGGAACTGTGAAAGTTTTGACCAGTTCCCCCCCCCTTAATTTTCTATCAATACAGGCCTTGAGTAACATGTTTAAAATGCATGCTATTTTCATGTTAGGAGACACTTTTCAAGTACTATCTGTTCCTAGAAATGTTAGTGTGCAAAAAGCCTAACATACATTAATACATTTATCCAATCTACAGTTTATATAGTTAGAGGCTGAAAGAAAAATCCACAGAAAAAAATAGGCTTATGTCAAATCAGCATTTAGTGAATAGCATCTTGGATTCCTTCTGTGGTAAGAAAAATATGATTTAAGCATCTAAATACCTTAAGTTTGAGCTTCAGCGACTCGATTTCTACGTGCAAATTTGCTGTCATCGACCAAGCTTCAATAGTCTTCTTTTTCTCAACTGCTAACTGGTGTCTAAAAGAAGCAGTATTGGCTTCCAGTTCCGGCCGCTGTCGTCAGCCCCGCCGCCCGTAAAGAGCCGCCTCCACAGCTGAGAGGCGGCTCGAAAAAACTCCGTTTCTGTGAAGAAGAGTGAGGAGAGCCGGCGAGAGCAGGTAGAGCCCCTACGATGTCCCCAGAGTGGTTTTTTTTTTTTTGCCTCTGGGGAGGAAGCAGGATGAGGCTCCCTATCCAGCTCGCCGAGGCTCCGGGCACCGGGGGAACTCTGCTTGTTGCAGAGCTAGACGACGCAACCAATGTAATTAGTGATTTATCAAAATAAACAGGGTGAAATCCGGATCTGGAATCCAAAACCGCAAGTATATATATTAGCCCTGTGATTGGATTTAAGAATGAAGAAAGAGTGAAAGTTTAAAATGGCGTCTGGCTTTAGCTGCTTGTAAAGAAAAAAAAAAAGCTGAAAGCGAAAGTGGATTTGCCTGACTGTTTCAGTATGCTACAAAGTATCTAAAATAACAGCGCTGGTTACAAGAGAAGGGAAAAGTTTTTTTTTCTTATGTTCTATCTCCTTAGAAACTTGATTAACTGTGAGAGGATTTTATGCTGGAAAAAAGGGAGAGAAGATTTTCTTCTTAAAAAGAAATGGTCTGCGTGGCAGCATGGCTTTAAAGCTAGATAATAAAGCTGGTTGGGGCGGCTCCCCTATTTATAAGTCACAAGAGCAGTCTCCAAGCTTGCAGATTCAAAGCCAGAATTTTAAAGACTTGAAGGAATTTATTACTGCGGCTTTGATGAGACAGGCGGTGGCTATGGATCAGAAGTTTCAGAAATTTCAACAGGAAACCAAGGAGTTGGTTCAAGAAAAGTATGATAAGATGAAACGACATATTTTGACAGTCCTGACTGGCTTCTCAGAAGTAATTATCCAGATTGATAAAAAGATGGAAGAATTCAGTTTAGAAGTAGCGTCTAAAATGAAGGAAATTGATCATAAGATCTATAATGTGGACAATAAAATGCAAAGGATTGAAAATGAAGTAACAATGATGCAACTCAAATTTATGGAATCTGCTGTAAGACTGAGGGGGATAAAGGAAAACAACAGAGATTTGAGAAGGATTTGTGCTGATGCTTTGGCTGTGATGTTAAAGGTTAGCTCTGAAGAGGTTTTGTCAAAAATTGACAAGATTTATAGAGTGAATTCTTGGGTAGCAAGGCAAAGGCAATTGCCCAGAGATGTAGTGATATACTTTACAGATAAAAGAATAAGAAATGACATCTTGCAAAAATCTTTTGTTTCTACCTTACAAGTGGATGGAAGGCAGATTGGGATTTACAAAGAGTTGCCGCCTAAGATGCTAAAAGACAGAAAAGACTTTGGATTTTTGGTGACTGAACTAAAGAAACAACAGATTCCATATAGATGGGATGTCCCAGTTGGCATAAGACTGACGTATCAAGGAGAAAGATACCGATTAAATACCGTTGAAAAAGTGGAAGAATTTTATCGCAATGTTTTTAAAACTGGCTCAACATCTCCATGTATATTGTCAGCATCAGGAATACAGGAGGGAGATAAAGAAAAGCAAATTGAACAAAAGATTGAAGCCCAGTGGAAGCAGATGGATGTGGAGCCAATG